AAAACAGAGAAAAGAAGAGAAAGAAAAATGAAAGGAAGGAAGGAAGGAAGGAAGGAAGGAAGGAAGGAAGGAAGGAAGAAAGGAGTTTCTCACCCCATACAGGCCTTTATCTTCTTCCCCAGCTACTCCTAACAGAGTCTTCTGTGAACAGCTCAGGCCTAGGAGAGAGGGGGTAGCTTCCAAAACCTTCTCAGGGAGTCTGGGACAAGGTTTTCTTCTCTGTTCATACCTTGTGTGTGTGGAGGGAGAGCTGGGGACAGGGCTTGGGGAATGATCATAATAGGTGAGGCATTGGCCAGGTATGGTGGTGACTGTCTTTTACGCTAGCACTTGGGAGGCAGAAGAATTGGATCTCTGTGAATTCAAGGCCAGCTTGGTCTACATACTGAGTTCTAGGACAGCCAGGGCTCTGCAGAAAGACCCTGTGGGAAAAGAATAAACCAAATAGATAGTACTTAAGGCACTTTAAATAAGTAAATAGAACCTGAGGCTTTGTAGTCAGAATGGTAGATGTGTCTGCCTAGGCCCCTCAACTGCCTTCTGAGGTCTGTCCTTGTTCCCAAAATGCCCTAATGCTGCTGCCTCTGACACACTAACCTCATAAAGCTCAATAAATACTATGGATGAATGAACTCCCTGTAAGTGGCTTACCGTCACTCATTTAATAGAAAGCTCAGGGATACACTTGGGAGACAAAATTGCTCCCACCTCCTGGGGTCCAAAGTATCATGACCTAGAAGGAGGAACAATGCTGGAATAGAGCGTCAGGGAATAGAGTGGATATCTGACAGCGTGGTGTGGACAGAGGGTCCAGAGCCCAGGAGGAGGAGACGGGCTGGGCTGGAACGATGGCTCAGATGGTAAAACTTATAGCCTAAGTTTAGTCCCTAGAACCCACATGATAGAAGGAGAAAATGACTCGTGCAAGGCGATTTATGACCTTCACATACATGCATGGCACGTGTGCGCGCGCGCGCGCGCGCACACACACACACACACACACACTAATAATTATAAACATGATAATTCTTTTGTTTTTAAAAAAAGGAGATGGTGGGAGCTGGAGAGATGGCTCAGCAGTTAAGAACACTGGCTGCTCTTCCAGAGGTCCTGAGTTCAGTCCCCAGCAACCACATGGTGGCTCACAACCATCTGTAATGGGATCTCATGCCCTCTCTGGTGTGTCTGAAGACAGCGACAGTGTACTCACATACATAAAATAAATAAATAAATCTTTTAAAAAAATAGAGTGGGGATGGTGAGGTGCTTTTTAGAAGGAATGAGAAGAGAACCCACCCCAATTATCCTGTTCTGTGAGGTTTCTCTTTTTCTTTTCATTTCTTTCTTTTTTCCTTTTTAAAATTAATTAATTAACTAATTAATTAATTTGAGACAAAGCCTCTCTCTATGTAGCTCTGGCTATCTTGGAACTCCCCATGTAGGCCAAGCTGGACTCAAACCTGCCTCTGCCTCCCCGGTGCTGAGATTAAAAGCATGAATCACTATGCCTGACTTACCATGAGGTTTCTTAAGGTCCACTGTAGGCAGTGGTAGACAGGGAGTCACCAAGGTAGTAATTAGCTGATGTCATGGGCTCTGTCACCAACTTCCTCTTAGAGGAAGAGAGAAGGCCCTGGGTTTCAGGCTCCAGGATGAATAGGGGTGAAGATGCTGTCGTCCATCTAAGAGGCAGTAAATTGAGACTAGAAATGAAGGGCCTTCAGCCGCTTTTACATTGTCCACTAGCCTTTTTGAGGGTTATGCCAGCTCATCAGTGTAAATGCAAACACAGCTCTGAGGTCCCTTCCTGGACCCCTGGGCCACTGTCAGGCTGAACTCTCCATCCCCCTTTCTGGCCCATTCAGACCAAGTCTACCCTTGCCCACCCCTACTCGCCCAGGTTGGGATGAAGGAAGGCAGGGGTGAGGGAGGCCAATCTCTGAGACCACATCCCCCACTCAGTGGGCTAAATAGTGGCCTCCAAGAAAACATTCACGTTGTAATCCTTGGAGTATACCTTATGAGGCAGACTAGACTTTGTAGTTGTGATGAAGAGTCTAAAGATGGGAGGCAGTGACTGGCGGACAGGTCTGTAACCCCAGACGCTCAGCAGGTTGAGACGTGAAGGATTCCAAGTTCAACAAGTCTGGCCTGGAAAACTCAGTGAGACTATCTTAAAAATAAAGACTCGCCGGGCAGTGGTGGCGCACGCCTTTAATCCCAGCACTTGGGAGGCAGAGGCAGGTGAATTTCTGAGTTTGAGGCCAGCCTGGTCTACAGACTGAGTTCCAGGACAGCCAGGACTACACAGAGAAACCCTGTCTCGAAAACCAAATCAAAATAAAATAAAAATAATTCAATCCAGGCATGGTAGAGCACGCCTTTAATCCTAGCACTTGGGAGTCAGAGGACGGCAGATCCCTGAGTTCAAGGTCAGCCTGGTCTACAGATAGAGTTCCAGAACAGACAGGGCTACATAGAGAAAATTTGTCTTAGAAAATAAAACAAAAACAAGCAAATAAACAAAAAATCACCACCAACAACAAAAAGTCAGGGGCTGGAGAAATGGCTCAGTGGTTAAGAGCACCTGCTGTTCTTGCTGAAGACCCAAGTTCTGTTCCCAGTACCCACATATGGCAGCTCACAATTGCCTGGAACTCTAGCTTCAGAGAACAGACCTCTCTCACCTCCTTGGGCACATATGCAGAAATATACATAAACATAGTACATAATTTAAAAATTTTTAATTAAAAGTATAAATAAAAATTCAAGCCAGGCGGTGGTGGCGCACGCCTTTAATCCCAGCACTTGGGAGGCAGAGGCAGGCGGATTTCTGATTTCGAGGCCAGCTTGGTCTACAGAGTGAGTTCCAAGACAGCCAGGACTACACAGAGAAACCCTGTCTCGAAACCCCCCCCCAAAAAAAAAATTCAAAAATATCTGGACACGTAGATCAGTAGTAGAGCGCTTGCCTAGCATTCACGAGTCCTCGAGTTCGGTCCCCAGCACGCCCCTTAACCCCACACACAAATCTTGAGCTGAGTAATTGTCTTAGATTATCTGGCCAGGTGGGTCCAGTATACTCCTAATATTTTTATGAGTGAAAGAAGATAGCACCAATGTCAAAGACATTTGGAGATGTGTTGTTGCTGGATTTGAGGGAACCACAAGCCAAGGAAGGTAGCCTAACTAGAGACTGGAAAACTAAGAAACAGAATCTCCCAGAGTCTTCAGGAGGACCTGGGATTGTTGGCTTCCCAACTTGATTGATTGATTATTGTTTTTCATTTTAAGACAGGATCTTACATAACCAGGTTGGTCTCAAACTCACTATGTAGCTGAGCGTGGCCTTGAACTCCTGATCTTCCTGCCTCTATCTTCCAAGTGTTGGCATTACAGTCCTGTACCACCATACTTAGTTAGGTACCTCAGTTTTTGTCCCATGATAGGATCTTAGACTTCTGGATTGCAGAACTGTGAGGTAATGTATGTGTTTCTAAGACATGGAGTTGGGGAAAAGTTGTCACACCAGCCAGAGAAAACTAACACAGACCACTCACCCTGCTCCCCTCTGGATCAGCCTGTGAAGCTGGACAGTGTGGTTCCAGTGATCCCAGCCCCTGTGGGTGACGTTGGCACCCAAGTGTGAGCCAAGAACTGGTCTGGGAAGATACACCCTTGGGTTCCCTGATGTTCTTCCTCTGGCTTCATACTTGGAAGAAGCAGTTGAGTTGCTCCCACAGACATGCTGGGGCCCATGGCAGCTGGGAGCTTACAAGCTTAGTGTGCCCATGGGCATTTCCAGGCTGCCTCTTGGTCATCTGTGATGCAGTCACTCCCTGGCAACTGTTCTGAAGCAACCAATGTCTGGTGCTGAGGACACACAGGTAAAAGAAACCACACAGAAGCCTCCAGATACATAGAAATCACATTTCATTCTGAAAAATGCTGCCCATCTTTAATATACAGTGTCTCATGCCAGGTGAGATGAGGTAGGACATGGTTTTCAGAGGCCCTTTGATCAGCCTATGGAGAGAGTAGCTGCCTTCCTCCAACTCTGTCTAAGCAAATAAGGCTTTTGGGAGGAAGACAGGAGCCATCTTCCACAGAGGTGGGCACTGGAAAGACTGAGGCAGAAGGAAGACTAGCAGAGCTGATGGAGCCCAGGAGTAGCTAACAGCATTTCTCATGTTAGCTAGGGAGGGCCAGACCTTCCCCCATTGAATATTTCTGTGTGAGCTACAGGAAGCCTTGACTCTCTAAGCCTTGATGACCACAACTGTTCTACAACATATTGAGTCAGACCCAGAAGTCAAAGTCCAGAGGAGAAGTCGAGGTTCCCCAGATCAGTTTGGGATTTACTTCTCAAATGGGAGCCAGTCTTCGGGAGCCAGGGCCCTCCCCAGCCCTAGCCTGGCTACATCTGCCCCTCCAAGTTGGAATCTTGGTCAGGTATGCAGGTGCTGAAGTTTACAGACTGGCTGTGGGCAGCAAGACGCACGATCAGAACAGCTGTTTTGTCCACCCAAGATGGGAGCCCCAAGCCCCTGCAGTGAGCCCAAAGGATCAGTAGACCAGAGCCTTCAGTCTCCAGAGCTGGCCAGGAGTGTCTCCAGCAGGGGGCTGTGCTGGTATAACTTGAAGCGTTCCTAACAGCATTGCATCAAGATCAAGGCTAAAGTGCCCTGACACAGTTCTGTGTAGATGACACTGGGAGAGAGGCCGCCTGGACTTCCACAGAGATGAACATCAGGGGCACCCCATCTAGACCTACAAAGGTATGCCGTTCATTAAGGTCACAGCCAAGAGTACCTTCAGCTGGATGGTCAAAGGAATTACAGATGTTATGAGAGGATTCCTGTAGAATAATTACTGTGGTTTGAGACAGCACGTGTCTTTCCGTTCCTCGTTTCAGAGAAATGGGCACTTTAGTACGCATTTTCTTATTGCCTTCCAAGAAGTCCCCAGGTCAGGAGACTATGCCTGCAGCGTGGAGGCATTTATTTTTGCAATTGCATCCTCTTCCCATCAGCCCGAGCCTTCGGGTTCCAGCTAAGTTCAGTCTCTGCCTTTGGTGTTTGATCCGGTGGTAAATCCGGGATCTCCTGTGTCTCTACCGGGTCCTTGGTAGCCTCCTCAAGCTCGGGCATGTCCTTGGTAGCCTCTGGCAGGGTATCGTCCAGGTCGAAATCAGGCTTTGTGGGGCGTCGTGTCCAGGCATGGGTCCAGGGTGCCACTGGCGTGGGCCGCGGTGAAACCCAGAAGCCATTTTCAGGGGCCAGTGCCACAATCTGAGGTCGCGCACCGGAGTTGGTGACATGAGGAATGAGAAAGAAGATGTAAACACCAGAGACCACGAGACCCGCGGCCACCAGCACAGCCAGCGCCACCGCTGCGTTGAAGGCCCATGCTGGACTGCTCAGGGATAGGCGACGTGACAGCGGGCGGCCGAGGCGCAGCGGGGGTGGAGGCGGCGGGGCGCGCACTGTGCGGCTCTTGCGTGGCCCAGGAGACGGAGGTGGTGGTCGCAGGTACAGGAGCCCCCGGCGTCGGTCAAAGCGCACAGAACCCTGGCGTGGCAGTGGCGCGCGCGCATCGCGAGGCAGCAGACTGGGCTGCGTGGGCAGAGCGGGCAGCCCCCGGCGCGGGGCCAAGCGTGTGGGCGCGCGGCACATGGGGCAAGCCACTGCATCGCCGCCACCCGCAGTAGCCAGCGACAGGCGTGCCAGGCACTCGAGACAGAATACGTGGCCGCAGTCTAGGCGTTTAGGCAACTTGAAAATGCCGTCAAAGGGTGACACGCAGATCAGACATTCCATGGGGGATGCGGGGGGCAGAATGGGGCCTGAGCCAGGGGTGCCATCGCCCTCCTCCTCTTCTGCATCCTCGTCTTCGCCTCTGCTAGGGGTGTTGGGTACAGAGAGGGTACTTGGGGAACCGGGGCCAGAGCCCTGGGAAGTTCGGTGGCGGCGGAGCCAGGGCAGCCGAGGACACGGCATTCAGATTGGACCTATGGAGAGAAGAGCTCAGGTAGGAACCTGGGGGTTGTTGACAGATTTACAAGGTTTTAGAGAGGAGTAGGGTAGGTCCAAGGAAGTAAAAAAGTGAAGGCGGGGAGTCCTTGTTTTGGACCTATTGTCGCCAAAGGTCTAGAGAGAAACTAGGCAAGACTGAAGCAGCTTCAAAGATGTTGAGAATACATCTTTGAGGAGATCCAAGAACATCAACTCCAAACTGAGTAAGAATGGCCCTGTAGAGTAGTACCAAGACCCCAGGGAACACTCGCTATAATCCATCACCTGGACCACAGGACTCCCAAGCCAGTGTAAAAGGTCCCCAATAGCAAAGAAGAAAAGTAATAAATTCAGGTTAAGAGAGGTAACTCCACAAATGACCGACTCTGGCTGCTTTGCAAGACACCCACCTGTAGACACCTTTCCTTGTGTGGGATCCAAGTGTCTCTTCTGTTCTGACCCCAATTTCTGGCTTGCCTGCCACTAGGTAGCTATGTGCCTCTCCCTGAAGGAGTGCACCTGACCTTGGGCCAACCCTCCAGGTTCCCACATACCTGTAAAACCCGTATGACAACTTGCCCCGCCCCCAGGCCCCTCCCACTAAGTCTGATCTATACCAGTCATTGGGGTAGGGGCTGGCTGCTAATGGTACAAGACTGACCATTCTTCAGAACTTCCAGTACTGGTCTCCATGGGGGCACTAACCACACTAGGAGGGAACAAACTGGATCTACCTAGACCAGACCTAACACAAGGCCTTCATCCCCAATACTTGCTCCTTTCCTGGGCACCGGGCTTACACCCTCTGACTAGCACTAGTCCTGAGGTGCTATAATTCTGCAGGTACTTGTCATGAAAATACAATTCCCACCGGTGAACACTATGCCAGGAAGGTGAGCATCCCCTGTACCAAGGGAGGTACCCTATGCCCTAAATGATTAGACAAACACACAGGAAGGTGGAACTGTCCCAAAGGACACACAGTTTATTAGGCAGCAGCTGGGAAATCAGCGGTTAGACTTGGCCACACGCTCCAATTCATCTTTCTTCTTGATGGCATAGGAGTTGGAGGAGCCCTGCAAGGACAGGTGATTAGCTCTGAGTGCTGGACAAGCCCCCAGATGCCCAACCCGAGTGGTATGCCCTGACCCACCTTGGCAGCATTAATGAGCTCATCTGCAAGGCACTCGGCGATGGTCTTGATGTTCCGGAAAGCAGCCTCACGAGCCCCGGTGCACAGCAGCCAGATGGCCTAGACAAAACAGGCAGGGCTCTGGCCTCAAAGGGTCCCTCCTGCCAGTGACCTGGGACCCATCTTAACAAATACCAGCCACTCACTCACTACATGTGGGAGTTGATACCTTATCATATAGCTGGATCAGAAGGCTGAGAAAACATGGGCCAACTAACAAAAAGACTTAAGAACTGCCAGCAAAATATGTGATGCTCTTGACTGGAACCCTTGATGTCCCCATGGTACTCAGGCATCAAGCAATCCATGCCTTTCAAGTCGCTAAAACTACAGGTAGGTGTGTGTGTCACCATGCACTACACTCATCCATGGATGAAGAAACAAAACAAGGCCTGCTGTAAAATACACACTAGGGATGAGATGAACCAGACCGGGAAGGCTGGACGACCACCTGCTCCATACAGAGTGGAAATCCAGGAAGCGTTCCTGGAGGAAGTGAGGTTCCTGGTAAATCATGCAAGACAGGACCCCACCCACTCATGCTGATGGCTCCTGCCACACCCCTTCACAAGCCTCTGACCCACCTGATTCACTCGGCGCAGTGGGGATACATCCACAGCCTGCCGCCTCACTGTCCCGGCCCGCCCAATGCGTGTTGAGTCTTCTCGAGGGCCACTGTTGATGATAGCATTCACCAGGACCTGCAGAGGGTTCTGAGAGAAAAGGGGGGGTGTGAGCCTGATATCCACCCTAAACCTCCTCAACTCTAAACAAGGTGACAGTGTCATAGGTGATGAATCTGGCATGTATACCATGAAGCTTTGGTATGAACCACGGACAAAACCTTACCTCACCAGTGAGCAGGTGGATGATCTCAAAGGCATGCTTGACAATTCGTACAGTCATGAGCTTCTTGCCGTTGTTCCGACCATGCATCATCATGGAGTTAGTAAGGCGCTCCACGATGGGACACTGCGCTTTGCGGAAGCGCTTGGCAGCATACCGTCCAGCACTGTGGGGTAGGTACTTGGCATACTTCTCCTTCACAGCAATGTAATCCTGGGTGGTAAAGAGAGGAGCAGTCAGTAGTGGGACCAGCCTCACATTAGAGGATACTGAGAACTAGCTCAAGCCATGGCATGTCCCCAGCAGGTTGTGAACATGAGCTTTAAGAAAATAAAGCCAGGGCTGGAGAGATGGCTCAGCAGTTAAGAGCAGTGACCTCTCTGCTAGAGGTCCTGAGTTCAATTCCCAGCAACCACATGGTGGCTCACAACCATCTACAATGTACTTATACACTTTTCTAGTGTGTCTGAAAATAGCAGGTGCACTAATATAAATAAAAAATAAATCTTTAGCCGGGCGGTGGTGGAGCACACCTTTAATCCCAGCACTTGGGAGGCAGAGGCATGTGGATTTCTGAGTTCGAGGCCAGCCTGGTCTACATACAGAGTGAGTTCCAGGATAGCCAGTGTTACAGAGAAACCCTGTCTCGAAAAACAAAAACAACAACAAAAAATCTTTAAAAAAAAAAAAAAAAGAAGAAAGAAAAGAAAACCAAACCAATGACAGGTTAAGTCAGATTCAGATATATAAAAAGGAAGAATGCTGCCCTGCTGGGTGTATACCTCTGTATCCCAACACTTGGGAGACAAAATGATCTCTGGCAGTTCAAGATCAGCTTGGTCTATAGTGAATTTCAGGACAGCTAGGGGTACACAGTGAGGCCTTGCCTCAGGGGGAAGGGGAGAGAGAACCCTTACTGTAACATGCAAACAAGGGATTTGAATTCAGTTTTTACAAGTATTAAGTAATTGCACTTTCAGTCAGATAGTAATGGCACACATCTTTAATCCCAGCACCTGGGAGGCAGAAGCAGGCGCACTTCTGCTAGTGTCAGGCTATTCTACACAGAACAGCCTGTCTGGGGTTTGGGGGACACAGAGAATAGCATTATAGGGGCTGGGGAGATGCCTCAGAGTTTGGCTGCTCTTCCAAAAGAACCCAGTTTCAATTCCAAGCACCCACATGGCAACTCACAACTGTCTGTAACTTCAGCAGATCTGACAACCTAACAGACAGAATGCACATAAAAATAACTACATTATTCAAAAATGTTACTATGGACATTTTATTTAAAAAAATAATTGAGACAGTATCCCGTGTAGCCCTGGAATTCACAATGTAGTAGTCTGAATAGTCTGGTCCTGCAGCTCCCCCTCCCCCGGACTTAAAGGGATGTACCACTGATTCAAGATGCTATGGACACCGTGGACTCCTCAGAGGGGAGAGCTGTCCCTTGTACTTTAAGGACACTTGGCAGATTATTTTGGACTACCTACGAGACAAACCCACATCTACTATCCTATCTGTTGTATATGTGTGTACACACTGCGTCTCAGTAGCAGCCTGTGTTGGCCTAGTATGTGAAAAGCCCCAGCTTCAATCCCTAACATGACAAAAATGATTGCAGACCTCCCCAAATAAACACACAAAAATAAAGACCGGACTCAAAGTCCTTTAGATTAATGCCTGGGTCCCTTTGTTTCCTTTCCCCCTCTATTTTGTGCATGCATACAAGTCAGGGGACAACTTGTAGCCATCAGTTCTGCTCTACCCGTGGATTCCAAGGGCTAAACTTACATTGTCAGGCTTAGTTTATAGGCAGTGCCACCTTACAGGCCCATTCTGTGGTATCTTTAGAGACAACAGACCTACTGGGCATATACACCTTCAATCCAAGCACTCGGGACAGAATGCAGATGATTAGCTTTCCCAACTAGACAGGGTTTCAGGCCATCCTCAGCTATAAGAGATTGCCTCAAAGGGGGATATGAGGACAAAAGCAAATAGTTCCCATACTAATTTAGCCATAAAATAACACCCATAGCCAACTGACATTCTGCAGGGGAGGGCAGCAGGGAACATCTCATATAGCTCCAACTGGTCTCACACTCAAATTCCTCTTGCTGTAGGCTGATAGTAACAGCTTACCAACTGACTTTTGAGAAGGCTGCCAACACTGTTCAGTTGGCTAAAGCCATCTTTTCAACTGATACCCACTAACTGAATATACAAATGAAAAAGGATACCAAGCCGGGTGTAGTGGCACATGCCTTTAAGTCCAGCACATGGGAGACAGAGGCAAGATCTCTGAGCGCCAAGCAGGCAGCCAGGGCTACACAGCAAGACCCTGCGTGACCTTGTTTTGAGAGACACAGGATTAGAAAGACGGGGGGGGGGGGGGGGGGGCCGGGGCAGCATAACATCTTTTAGTGCCAGTTTGTAATAATGCATCAGTGTGGTTGTCCAAATATTGCTCTTCTACCTGTCTTAAACATCCACTGGTTGTTTTTGTGCCCTTAACTGGAAGGGTTCACACCTGGTCTCAATCAAAAATCATCACAGAGAAGAACCATTAAGTTCCTTTTACCTGTAGGGAAATGTCGTTGATCTGCACATCATCAGTGCTCCATTTCCCAAAGAGCTTGATGTCTGGGGTCTCTGCCACCGCTGGTGTGGCTGTTTCCCACTCAGTCATTCTGGGGACAGGATAATGGCAAGAAGAAACCGTTAGTGCCCAGCCATGCTGAAGCAGTCACACTCACCCCAAACTCTTGAGACTAACTCCCACTTTGTGGCGAACTGGGAAGTTAAGGGGTGACCCAGAAAGCTTTGAACACCTCTCCAAACCCAGGAAAACCACTCAGTCGTAGGCAGCATCTGCTCTCTTCTCAGGATTCCAAAGTAACCCAGCAGTCACCAAGCTAAACAGTTTGTACATGGACCACGG